TGGTTACTCTTGCCAACATAGTAACAAAAGAAGATCCATCTGTACAACTGCTACCAGCAGAACAGGGGTATACCTGCACTGACATGCCGGCACTCTGTCCTTCTTTAATGTCTCCTCTGGCAAACTGATCCACCTCCAGACCTTCCATACTGAATTCAAGGAGCCAGTCTACCCTGCTTTCAGGGTCAGGACTGATCCATTTAACTCATCGCTGGCTTTGTGTTAGATAAGTTTTGGTTTAGATAACTTTTTGTCTGAAGCTCATCTCAGATGCAGTAGGGCGACAGATCAGGGCCTTAGTTTAAAGTCACCAATGCTATTCCAGTAGCTGATCATTCAGCAAGTCTGAGTAATTATTCAAAGAGGCCTGCTCTGGCACAGAAGTTTCAAGCAGTTGAGTCTAGCTAGGGTTAGGTCAAGTAAGTTCAAGTTAGCTGGCCCACAATTCACAGGCTGAAGTTTAGCTGGCTTGTGGGAACATTCATGAAGTGGCCGGTTTAATCACAGTTTCTGAGGATCCCTGCAGAGCTTTAGTCTCAGAAGAGACTGGTTGTAACTCCAGGGATTAAGAAAAATCATAAGGCCAAGCAGGCTCTGGTGTGGGTTTGCCATCTGTGTCACCTGACTCAGTTGGAGCAGGGTATCGGCTTGGAGCTGGCTGCGGTGCAGGACCTTCGAGAGGCTGGGCAACAGCATCTTCATCACTCAGTACAGTGGCGATGAGGCTAGGGTGCTGGGAAACTTGACTTTGGCTGGCTGTGCAAGTGTGGAACTTGCTGGCTCCAGCAGCGAAGATGTGGAGCTTGAGTCTTGAGGTGTGGGTATGAAATTTACAAAGTATCACAGCCATTTATTCAATGATGTTTCCTTGTATATTTTGCGGAATTATCAGAATTCTGAACTTCAAAACAGTAATAAATAAATTGAGAGAAAAAATCTTGTTAAGGAAAATGTTCTAAAACACTTCTTCAGTAAAGACTCAGAGAAGAGAAACACACAGAACTTCTTGCTAGCAAGGGCAGCCTCCAGACAGAGAGACTCACGCTGAGAAACTGCCCCGGTCTTTTATTTATACTTCAGTG